AACCCCCACCACCTGGATTATCCCGGTATTTCAAGGGCACACTTTATACTTGTGTAGTATCAACGATTCAGAGACAGAGTTTATAGGAGGCACCTTCTTTATTAACAACTTCCACGGTCTTGTCCACACACTCTCCACAGCAGCTTAGCCTAACCTGTACACAACACTAGCGGTCTAACACTGACGTCGCTGACTGAGACAGCCGACTACTCTCCTTCGTAGCGCAATATCTAGCGGAAACGTTAGCGACGATGGCGACGAGATGACAGCAACGACAAAACAAGTCCACTCCCAGAACCAGCAACCTCGAGCTCCCGCTCTCGACTCCTTTTATGCTCCCAGCGCGGCCTGGCTCCGCCCTGACCGCGCCTCTTCTCGAACCCGCCGGCAGATTCCAGGGGCCTCCAGATGGGGTCCGCCGTGACCCTTGCCCTAGTTCCTCCTCTTTGCCAACACACTGTGCACACCCTCACCGGCGTGTGTACTGTCTGTCCACCACAGTTGCCGCCGCTGTCCACCATCCAGCGCTATTACACTACACTTGCTTAACTCGTGCGATGCTGATTTAGGCTTGTTAGTAACGAGACCGGGCCTGAGAGCTGCCCGCTGTAGTGAATGGTGGTGAGATGTTAACTACATCGCCTGGTATGCGGGAGATTGTGGGTTCGATCCTGACCCTGACGCCTGTATATTTGGAGTTTGTATGTCTCTCTCCCCGTGGTCACGTGGATTTTTTCTCTAGGTCCTCCGGGTCTTCCCTCCACATTAAGAAACACGCATTGAGATGATTTAGATTATTTTGCTGCTATAAATATGCAAATGATGGGCCACTTTGTTGAGCTATCACTTGTGGCCAGCTCGCCTTTGACTGGTAGGATGGGGATGGTTTTTTTTATTTGCATGTGTTTGGGTGATTTGTTAACTTTTATTGTGCTTTGCACTACTATTAGATTTTAGCATTGTGTTTGTTGTTGTGACGTTCTTACCCACCCCTACTGGACATCTGTGAAAAAGAGCTTAATGGCTCAACAGATTCCTCCTGTGTAAATACATATTCTGATTCTGAACGCTCGGCAATCAAACTGGATCCGTGGGCCAAGGTCATCGACCGTATCTGCATGAACAACTTTCCACACCCAACCTGCACGCATGAGGGGGGGCCTTTAACCCGTCTTCCTGTCCATGCTTTGTGTAATAATTGCGCATCTCAGATGTTTTTCTGTTACTGGTGGGCCCCATTACTGACTTAAGTGTTAAGTCACTGTGGCGTTGTCTCCATGCAATCCACTTTTGCGGGGTCATCGTCCACTTGCTTGATTACAATGTGTTTTTTGTTGTTTTTTTTATTTAAAGTTTACTCTTTTATTTTTTTCATTTTACAGGTGAATCTTTCGTAAGTGATTGTACGTCGAATGGAAACTTCCCATTTTGTTCTCATTGTGAAGATGGCTACTACATGGACATCCCCACCCAGGAACATCAATGTAAAAAGTGCAGCTCGTGTGGTGCCAGTAAGTTTTCGTCGTTTCCCCCATAACTTTGACCACGGGTTCCACCGCACAACCGAGCCGTGCTGAGTCAGCCAGACGCAGAGGCGCACAGTTGTTTTTTTTTTCACTGCAAAAGTTGAGCTGTGCCACTGATGTCACTTGCATTGAAAGAGTAGAGATGTATAAAGGTAAAGCCGCCGTGCCTTAGACGATACGAACTGACGTCACAATGCGCAGGCCCCGCACTGCCTCAGCTCAGATGTGCCAGTGGAAAATTCGACGCAAGATCAGCCTTGTGTCGAATTTTATATGGATTCTCTCAATTTGACTCATCTTGTACGAGTTCAGACGAATTGGCATCACATTCCCCCGGTGTCCATATGATACTCCATAAGTGTCATGCGTCCAGAATCGTATGGCCCTCTGCTGCGTATGCCACCAAAAATCACATCACCGCCATCAACGTTCCCCAGAAAGAGCTGGGCAACCTTGGGAAACACCACTGAGACCCAGGGCAGTTTTGGGGACTAGGGCCTATTCGCCAGTGAGTCCCAGGGCAGTTTTGGGGGGACTAGGGCTCATTCATCAGTAAGTCCCAGGGCAGATTTGGGGACTACGGCCCATTCATCAGTGAGTCTCAGGGATTAGGGGGGGGGGTGGAGCTTCACCACTGGAATGTTTCTGTTTTTTTTTATTTCCCGACAGATGAAGAGATCCTCTCACCCTGCAACAGTACACACGACACTACTTGTGACTGTAAGGAGGGGTTCCAACGTTCCAGCTCCTCATCAACCTGTGAGGCCACAGGTGAATGGGGTGAAATCTTACAAACCCAGCAATTGAACAATTTCTTCTCGTAGATTTTTCAAAACTTGCCTTCTCTTAAAAACATAACATATACATACACAAATACTCAGCTATTGTGAAAGCCCGGCGTTCCGTTTGTCTGTCCATTTGTCCGTCAACAAAATTATAAGAGGCTTGCAGAAGTCCTGAATCAAAAAGTAATAGAAAGTGGGGGGTACATAGTTGATCTAAAAGATTTACAAAAATTGTCAACCCCCCCCCCACTCCAAACATCTTTTTAACCCCCCAGCCAATTTTTATTTTGTAGGCATATATACCTACACACCCTACATACAATAGAGTCAGTAGTATCTAGTGACTCTATAGTAGTCTCCACTGACTCTACAGTAGTATCTACTGACTGTATAGTAGTATCTACTGACTATAGTAGTATCTATTGATTCTATATCAGTATCTACTGACTCTATAGCAGTATCTACTAACTCTATAGTAGTATCTATTGACTACAGTAGTATATTCTGACTCTACAGTAGTATCTACTAAGTCTATAGTAGTGTAGTATCGTGTAAAATCGCTCAGTGTAAGCAGGTCACCTGCTTACACTTTATTAGCCTATTCTTGCACCAGTTGTAGGCACTCCTATCACTGTTGCTACAGTCACTTCTGTTAACCAATTCCCACTCTTATCTACGTTACACCTCGCTAACCTACACACAGCAGCTCTTGCTCTCCGCAGCTCCGCACTCAAGGCTTCAAACACAGCAGCGCTCGCACAGAGGCTTGCACTCAGCGGCGCTCACACAGAGGCTTGTACACAGCAGCAATCACACAGAGGCTTGCACACAGCAACGCTCACACAGAGGCTTGCACACAGCAACGCTCACACAGAGGCTTGCACACAGCAACGCTCACACAGAGGCTTGTACATAGCAGCGCTCACACAGAGCTTGCACACAGCAGCGCTCACACAGAGCTTGCACACAGCAGCACTCACACAGAGGCTTGTACACAGCGGCGCTCACACAGAGCTTGTACACAGCGGTGCTCACACAGAGCTTGTACACAGCAACGCTCACACAGAGGCTTGTACACAGCAGCACTCACACAGAGGCTTATACACAGCGGCACTCACACAGAGCTTGTACACAGCAGCGCTCACACAGAGGCTTGTACACAGCGGCGCTCACACAGAGCTTGTACACAGCAGCGCTCACACAGAGCTTGTACACAGCAGCGCTCGCACAGAGGCTTGTACACAGCGGCGCTCACACAGAGGCTTGTACACAGCAGCACTCACACAGAGGCTTGTACACAGCAGCACTCACACAGAGGCTTGCACACAGCAACGCTCACGCAGAGGCTAGCACACAGCAACGCTCACACAGAGGCTTGTACACAGCAACGCTCACACAGAGGCTTGCACACAGCAACGCTCACACAGAGGCTTGTACACAGCAGCACTCACACAGAGGCTTGCACACAGCAACGCTCACACAGAGGCTTGCACACAGCGGCGCTCACACAGAGGCTTGTACACAGCAACGCTCACACAGAGGCTTGTACACAGCAACGCTCACACAGAGGCTTGCACACAGCAACGCTCACACAGAGGCTTGTGCTCAGCAACGCTCACACAGAGGCTTGTACACAGCAACGCTCACACAGAGGCTTGCACACAGCAACGCTCACACAGAGGCTTGTGCTCAGCAACGCTCACACAGAGGCTTGCACACAGCAACGCTCACACAGAGGCTTGTACACAGCAACGCTCACACAGAGGCTTGTACACAGCAACGCTCACACAGAGGCTTGTGCTCAGCAGCTCTCACACAGCTTCTCCTCCAGCGCCGCTGCCCTCGCCTACGTTCCCTCAGACCCACTCACTCGTCCGATCCGGGCGGGGGGGGATCAGCCAACACCCGCCCGGCGACTCGTGAGGGCTGCGGTCCATCCCTAGCTTGAGTGGCAGCGGCGAGACGTCTTCTCTCTCTTGTCCCCAGCAACACGAACTCCCGCTCCACTCTCACACACGTCCTTATATTCCCCTCCCAATTGTCCAGCTCCTCCCTTGTGTCTCTTTAGGGCCAGACAGGCTGGCGCCTGTCAGGCCATCAATCACCCCTCATCGCACGTCTCCCTGAGGTAGTGCATTGTGGTTGCTGCAGGGCATCTCAGGAGCTGGTCCACGGTTTGCTTTCCTGACAAACACATTGGTCGGTTGTGTAGAAGCCCCCCCCACCCCCCCCCCCCCATGATTTCATGAGAGAGCTGCATCTGCCGAAAACCCACTCTCAGTCTGTTTAGGCTCTGCCATGTAAGCCTTTGGAATTGGAGCCAGATGCGAGCTCCTCACTGGGGGAAGGGGGGTTGGGTGATTTCTCGCCAGCTCCATTAAGCAACTTTGTCGTTTGGTTGTTCCCATTCACTGGGCTAATAATACACAACGCGCTGTGGCCCCCACTGCACCCCAGAATGTATTCGCGTTTCATATTATATGTTCTTGCACATTTTAATTTGATGCGAACTTTAGTATTTTTATTTCGTGAAATTAACAAAAAAAGCCCTCAAAGGTTTTAGTTGGACGAGGCTCTGTGTCCGCTTGTGCAGTTGGACAATGAACGGTGAGATAGCGCAAAGTTGTTTTTATTCATTAGGACTCTCAAAAGCAGCCATGGCGGTCATCGTCATCTGCTCTGTTGTCGTTGCTGGAATCCTGCTGGTCGGAGTCTACATTGCATGGAAACGGAAAAACAACTCTCAGCCACCGGGCCGCTATACGTACAAAGCTGCTGGAAGAGATTCACACACAGATGGACCGATGCCCAATGCAGGTCAGTTCCGTTATTGCACCGACTTTTCACGACTCCTGTTTACCGAGGGTGCCGGGTGGTGGTAGTGGTGGTGGTGGGTGGCGCATGCCTGTAATCGAGCAACTGAGGAGGGGAGTGTTGGTGGAGCGCACAAAATGTTGCGAAGCTTTCTTCCTGTGGGCATGGAGGTGTCATAACGCTGGCTTGCCAGGAGAAAGCGGCACAGCAAAAAATGTATGGGATAGTTGTATTTCCCCCTCGAATGCGTGGAGTTTTCTCTGGGCGCCAGTCGATTGTTCCACAACCGGGTTTTGGGGGGGCACCAATATGGAGTTCCACAATTCGGGGGCCACCGCCCTAAACTCTCAGACCATCGCAAGGACGCAGCCGAGATCGAGGGTTTGCATAAAAGAGGCATCATCGGCAGACCTTAAAAAGACTACGCCGGGGCGAAAGGTTACATCAGCTCCTGAATATGAAGTGAAGCAAACCCCTCGCAAGGCCTTAAATATGAGCAACGCGGCTTTAAATTCGACTGGTTTAGAGATGGGGAGAGCCAAAGCAACGGTGCCAAAACAGGAGAGAGACGCGTTGCTGCAGCGACGAGGTACAAGCAAGCGCCATGTGGCTGCTCGCGCTCTGCACAGTCTGCAACCTGATAAGGACCTTTCCTCGAGGCCCCAGACAACAAAGTTGAAGTGCATTCGATTTGTTGCACGAACGATCTCCCGTTTAGCCAGTTTCTCAGCTTTTTTTCTTACAAGGGAGAAGCGTGGTGCGTGAGTGCAGCAGCAGCAGCGGCAACAACACACACAAAAACATCGACATTGGAGAGAACGAGTATAGAGTCCTTTAGGAATATTACACAACTAACGAACGAGGTACTTGACACTCGTCAACATTGCATTGCAAATCAATGTGCGAAAATAGAAATGCGTGCATATTGTACAGTAGGCTTTCGATTATCCACGCTAATGACGGGGAGGATGGCCGTGGGTAATTCAAAATCCCGGATAATCCAAAACTATAATCATTTACCGCGAATCTCTGTCAAAAAACACTAATATAGGTATACATTGTTCATAATACAGGTTTTTTTGGGGTTAGATCATGTGAATATATAAATGTGTTGTTATAAATTCCGTTTAGGTTAAGAAAATTGAGTTGCTCAGTGATAACACTTTCCTGCTCCCATGCAGAAGAATCATCCAACGAGTGGATAGCAGAGCCATGCCAATCAAAATCAAACTCCGCCCACTGTTGTCATGCAACTACTGTACTGTAGAGGCAATTACGTGTATTTCGGATTAACCGGAGCACACATTTGTTTGGTTTAATCATGTGACTTGTAATACATATTTCCAAGAATAACAATGTATAAGTGTTTTAGATGATTACTTTGGAAGGGAGAATCCATGAGTTATTAATTTACGTCAAAATCTCAGGTGCGCGGTTAATCCGCAAATCAGATAAACCGCACGCGGATAATCAGAAGTCCACTGTAATTGTAAATGTAATTTACTTGCCGTAATAATAAGACTTACAATTTTAAACTCCTTTTCGATCTTCCCTCAGATAATGCACTGCAGATATATTATGAGTACTTAAAACGACGAACGTCATACATAATCGACTATAATTCCAATCCTGGACAAAGCACGCTCATCAAAGAGAGATTTGTGCAACCTCTCCTGCTCGACTATCACTACCAAGACAGCGCCAAGGATCACGCGGTCATTACGGCGGTGAAGAATCAGGAGCGTATATTGGAGGATTTGAAGAATACTGGGTTCTATTGTAGGCAACTGTTTGATCCATGTAAAAACAGTTCAGAGCTTCCCCACCTGATTGTGTTGGTTGGCGTGCCGGGCATTGGGAAAACCACCTTGACTAAAATGATGATAAACGAACTCTTGTCGGTTGAAACATTTTTTCACGTCAATTTTAAGATCATCGTGTACATCCAGTTGCGAGAGCTGAATAGCTATCCCCGAATCATTTCACTTCGTGAAATTTTACGGAGGCAGCACTCGGACCTGGGCAGTATGGCCAACAGCATGTTTCACGACCCTCGTGACGTCCTCCTGGTCCTGGACGGGCTGGATGAGTTCAGGAACCCCCTCGACATTGCAAATGCCTGCAGCGGCCTCGACGACAAGGGAAGCATAGAAGCCATTGTTGGCGGACTAGTGATAGGAAAACTGCTGCCCGAGGCCTCTGTGTTGCTGACAACTCGTCCCATTGCAATTGACCAGTTGCGCGGTGTGAAGGTCGATCGATTTGTGGAAATTTCGGGCTTTACAAGGGCAGAGATCAAAGGGTACCTTTGCAAACTGTATCCGGAAGATGGTCTTGGGTCAGAGATTGCGTCATCGCTGGAAAAGTATGAAAATGTATTTAATCTGTGCTACATCCCAGCATTCTGCTACATAGCCGGCACAGCGTTGAAGCCTTTTATAAGCCGAGACAAACAATTCGACTCAGAGTCTGCTACACTGACAATGACTGATCTCTTCTCCAAGTTTTTGTATGTGCTCATCACTCATCACAGGGGAAAGATTACTAATCCGAGGAAGACTGTTGCAGAACTTGCAAAACTCGCCTTGTGGGGAATTGAAAAGCACATTCAATTGTTCAGCTATCGCGACTTGCAAGATGCTAACGTCAATGTCAGTAGCCTGAAAGGCACATTCATCAGTGAGTTGTTCAAAAATGAGGAGTTTAATTCAGTCAAAATGTACTCCTTTTCCCACCTGACGATTCAGGAGTACTTTGCATCACTGGCCATGTACCTTCATCGGAATCCTTCTTCAAAGTTAATTAAGCAACAAAGCATTCCTCAGCACACAGCATCTGAGGTCATCAAGAAGATTCAGATTTCCCGTGACGGCCGATATGAAATGGTCAAAAGGTTTATTTGTGGCCTTGCATCGCCAAAGCCTTGGAAAATCCTGAAAGATTGTATTGGACCTCCGTCTAAGGAATCCCAGAAACACACCCTCAATTGGATTGCGGAGGGAGTGAAGGAATTTGAAGAGGAAAACAACAAGGTGGTTAATCTGCTCCATTGCCTGTTTGAGCTGCAGGATCCACAAACCGCACAGAACATAGCGGAAGTGACGGCAAAGATTAACCTGTCGAACACGCGTTTGTCCCCCATGGACTGCACCACGATCTCCTACGCCGTGAAGAGCCGGAGCAACCCTTTGGAGACCCTCGCGTTGAACAACTGTGGCCTCCGGCAACGGGAGGTGAAGGAACTTGTTCCCGCAATGAACATGTGCAAGGAATTGAGGTAAGGTGGCCCTCCCTGCGTTGTTTGCGACTTTGTCGGCACTCAAACCACACAAGTGGTCAAATAGGGGTTGCCACCTCAGAATATTTTTTTCAGAATCAGAATATTTACTTCTGCAGGAGGAATCCGATGAGCTATAAAGTTCTTTTTCACAGATGTCCAATAGGGCCACAGGGTAAGAACGTCACAACAACAAACAGTACAAAAACACGATCGGAGTGCAAAGTACGAGAAAGGTACACAAATCACCCAAACACAAACAAATAAAACTAAACCATCCTCATCCTACCAAGCAAAAGCCCACTGGTGTATTAACGTATGTTTCAAAAGCGACCTGGCCGCAAATAACAGCTCAACAAAGTGGCCTATCATTTGGACATTTATAGCAGCAAAATTATCCAAATAGACTAAATGCATGTTTCTAAATGTGGAGGGAAAAACAGGACACAGAGAAAAAATAGCACGCGACCACAGGGAGAGAGACATGCAAACTCCAAACATAGAGGTGGTCAGGTTCGGGATCGAACCCCCAACTTCCTACATTCCAGGCGAAGAAGATAACATCTCACCACCATGGTGCCTCTTAGATAAATCAAGTATATAAGTTCACATTGCATCCTCATTTCCCAAGCTTTGGAAAGGCAGTAAAATAACAGCAAAAGCAGTCCCAAACCACACAAAGATAACACACAGTCACTCAATAACAATTGTACGTTAAAATTTAATTCTCATTACATTGTTAAGGATACATTTTAGAAATTACATTGGCAGATGTGGCTGTATCCAGCACGAATCTTCTGCTTTGACATGGACATGTGATGACGGCCCCCTTTTTGTTAATTTTTTGGTCACTTTTCGACCCACCTCGAGTAACTTTCTACCCCCTACTGGACACCTATGAAAAAGAGCTTCATAGGTCATCGGATTTCTCCAGGATAAGTAAACATTTTGATTCTGAAATTCAACCATAGGCTTTTGCGACGCAATATTACGATTTTTAATTGATGTTGGGATGCTTCGAATGGTCACCAACGTGCCGGTGCTGCCGATGCAGTAAAACATTGGTGCGTTGGTTCATCATGCGACAACTTCATGACCCAAAAATCTAATTTGTGTCAACCATAATTGGGTTTGACCCGGAGAGTCCTAGGAGCTAAATAACACCGATACAGCACGACCCAAACTCAGGCCAGAGGGGAACAGTGAGGGGTTTGTAACCCGGGACCCGGAGTTGTGGAAGGGAACGGATTGGCCAAATGTGGAATGGGAGCGCGTAAATAAATCTCAGCATTCGTGTAGATACCGCCAAATAACAACATGTGCAGTAGACACCTACGGGCTATCTGCCCATGGATCGTGATGATGATGTTGATGATGAGATACTTCCACCCGGCTAGCTCACACTAATTTTTGTCCACTATATTATTCTTTACAGCCTGGACAGGAATGAGTTTGCGGACCTCGGCATGAGGCATCTGGCGGAGAGTCTGGCCAAGGGAGGACGGCATTTGGAGGAGTTGCGGTGAGCATCTTCATTCACGTCGCCGCGAGGCAACGGTGCATTGATGCATGGAACGAGCGTGGCATCACACTCGTTATACCAAAGGTTAAGAGTAATAGACGTTTCGCTGGACAACGTGAATACAAACCACGATTAATGTAACAAACCTCACAGTCAATGATAATATCGCGTAAGACTGGCAATTGTTTTCACCAAAGGCGATTTTCACCTAATGCTACCCATTTTAGGAACGTATCAACCTCGTTAAACGAGGAATTACAATATTTAAATAATGCAAACATCTAAATATTTTCTATCTGTTTAGGCTTTACAGGTGCGGATTGACAGAGGAGTCTGGCGCTGACCTCCGTGACATACTCAACTCATGCCATGGTTTGAGAAAGCTCTTGTAAGTGGTGTGATGGATTATTAAATACATTATGTGTGCAGACCACTCCCTACGAATCATTGCACCATATAGAATTTCATTTGACAAATACATCCATTTGACACAGGCTGATTAAATGTTTCCTCCTGTGGTGTTTATGTATCAATTAAACTGACTGTACAATGCCGTGGTCAAATCAAGTGTCAAGTCGATGTTGTGTAACCAGGTGAGAACTCGCGAAACCAGAATGTGTTTCATTTGCACGAGTGACCTGGGTCATTAAAATGGCAAAATCAAAACGGATAAAAAATAAATTTTGACTTAAAGCTTTCGTGACTGCAAGGATTCATACTCTTAGGTTTTTTCGGTAAAGTCACGTAGATAAAAAATAAAAATTAATAAAAGTAAAATAAAAATAAAAATCACGACGTTTCGGAGGCAACACAAGTTGTGACGGTTCCACCTGAAGACGGAAGCTTGTGTTGCCTCCGAAACGTCGTGATTTTTATTTTTATTTTACTTTTATTAATTTAAATTTTTTACCTACGTGACTTTACCGAAAAAACCTAAGAGTACCACCGTTACTGTTCCCTCTTCATATTCTCATTACACAGCTATCACTCATTAACCCCATTCATTAAATCCATTCATCATCATTTACAGTCATAAATTTCGCTTTCACCGAATTCAAGCATCACAGATTTACCCCCATTGCTTCCTCTCGTCTATTTCACTCACCTCATCTCCATCATCACATTCATATGTAGTACCGTTGTTAACTCTTTGTAAAAGCGCCTTGGTTAAGGTGCCTATATGATTCCGTTGAGATAAGGTATGGCTGGTGGTGACAAGTCATGCACCTACTCCAGTCTACCAGTGACCCGGACTATATTCGGTGAAACATATTATTCCCCGTTTACAATGCATACTGTAGGTTGGACACACACAGACAGTAGTGATTGCCCTTGGCGAATATCGCATTGACTGAACACATAACATCTAAAACATGTCAAAATCATGGCTGTTTCTCCCCACCCTTGTCTCTTTCGTGTTCCGCAGGCTCAGTCATAATGTTCTCAAGGACGCGGGCATCAACATTCTTGCAGAGGGTACCTCCAGAGGAGGTGTACATTTGGAAGAACTGGAGTAAGTGGCGGACACCTATTGTAGACGGGAACGCGGCCGCCGTGTGGATGTGTAATAAAGCTCGTTGAGGCGACTTCTGGAATTCGTCTTTTATTCAACTTATCTTACAGTTTACTTCACGCTGCTGATAGGCAGCAGGAGAGGGACAGATATAGAGAGACACACTGCCACGTGGCAACTCGGAGCCCCGCTCCCGCGTGGCCTCCCTCCTCTGTTCGTTCCTGTTCTGACCACGTGTCGTTCGTCTCCACCCCTATTTAATACCCGGGTCACGTGGTACGTTTCCGCCAATCCTCGTTAGCCTGCATGGAATCTTCCAGGCTCCCTCGTCAGCTCCCGGGACCACGCCCCTGACTCATCTCCCCATTGGCTGTGGCCAAAGCCAGCAGAACCAATCATCTCCTTACAACTGTCACCTTGCCATCATGTCAGGGCCACGCCCCTAGGCTTCCCCCCATTGGCTATAAACCAGGACCGGCAGAGCCAATCACCATGACGAGTTGTGATACGTCAGTGAGCCGGATATATCCTCATATTACAGATGTTTAGCGGTGCGCTGCCAGCGAATGGCCACCTCCGGTGGTGGCTGGGTAGATCGCGGACAAGAATAATTCAAAGCATGCACCCCACCCTTCTTCTGTGCTTTTGTGCACTTTTCAGATTTCTAACAATTATCTTTGTGCCATGGTGGTGAAATGTTAACTACCTCGCCTGGTATACAGGAGGTCATGGGTTTGATCCGGACCCTGACGATGCCTGTAAATTTAGAGTTTGCATGTTTCTCCCCATGGTTGCGTGGAATTTTCTCTGGGTCCTCTGTTTTTTCCCTCCACATTTAAAAACATGCTTTGAGAGTATTTGGCTGTGATAAATTTCCACGTGATAATCCACTCCATTGAGCTATCATTTGTGGCCCAGGTCGTCTCTGAAAAAATAGCTTTTTAGCTCGGTAGGCCTTACCTGGTAAAGTAGAAAAAAAATTGTATAGTATAGTGGCCATGTTTATATCCGTGACGACATCACATCTATCCCTCTATTTAAGAACGAAACAGGATGATTTATCCACAAATCTGTCTGTCGTCTGATGATGCTCATTGTAATTATTGGCAAAACATCGTACTCAATAAATGTTGTGGATTTACTCTCCAACACACCGGTGTGCTGTACTAGTGTAGTGTCAGCGGAGCAGGAGACAAGGTTCTTGAGGAGGCACCTTCTTTATTCACACTTTCAGGTTCGCAGGTTCGCCTTCGCTGCTCCCAAGTCGTATAGCCCAGCCTTGACACAACCCTGACCGTGTTACACTTACGGCGTCGACCGAGATGGCCAACAACTATCCGGCCGCGCAATGTCTAGTGAAGACAGCAGCGACGAAGGCGGCAAAGACGACAGCAATGACGAGACGAGTCCACTTCCCAGAACCGGCAGCCATGAGCTTTCGCTGTCCGCTGCTTTTATCCTACCCGGCGCACCCTGGCCCCGCCCTGGCCCCGCCCTGGCCACGCCTCCCTTCTCGAACCCACTAGCGGGTTCTAGGGGCTTCCAGACGGGGTCTCTGTGACCACAGTTCCTCCTCCTTGCCGACACACCCACGTAAATGCTCACCGGCGTGTGTACTGCTCGTCTACCGCAGTTAGCGTTGCTGGACAACAGACGGCGCTATTACACTACACTCGTAACAAATTGGCATGTTCTGTTTACGTGACAAACCTTACTAAATGGCTGTGTTGGATGGTGGCCGGTTTAACAACACATTTAGATTTACGTGATTTAACACAAAAAACCTCTGTTATGGATGCATATAAATGTATTTTATTATGATATTGCAGAGCCATGTCGAAACTCCTTAATAAAGTGTGTGTGTTCTCTGTGTTCAGTTTGTGGGACTGCTCCTTGACGGATGATGCTGGCTCAGCTCTACGCAACATCGCCGTCAACTGCCGCCACTTGAGGAAACTCCAGTAAGTGAGAAGATAAACAAGAGAATGATCACGACAGCGTGTGCCTCTGTAGATGCTAGATTTGCTTGTCGAGATTACTTGAGACAGCGGGCTGTACCACCTTGCTACTTTCAGAATCAGGGTATTTATTTATGCTGGAGGAATCAAAATGAGCGATGAAGCTTTTTTTTCACAGATGTCTGGTAGGGGCACGGGGTCAGAAAGTTACAACAACAAAAATACAAACAACACGATAGGAGTGCAAAGTCATTAAAAGGGGGGTTCTACTGTGCATTTGGCTTTTACAGGCTGAACGACAACAAGCTCATGGATGCCGGCGTGAGGATGTTGGTGGATGGAGTGTCTCAAGGGAAAGGGCGTTTGGAGGAGTTGCAGTTGAGTTGTCGACGTCCCCCCGACCGGTGCACGTTGGGGGGGGCATCAGGATATCGACGACGTTTTTCAACAACGACTCGGCTGGAGAAGTAATAATGGTAGAAAACGAAACTGTCATCAAACGCGTGCGCCTGTTTTTTGTTGGTGTTTGTTTTTAGTATTTGGAACAACTCGCTGACCGAGGACTCGGGTCATGCACTTTGCGATATCGTTGCTGCGGGCCAAGGCCTCAAGGAGCTTGGGTAAGTTCTGTGACAACCAAATAAAGTCGTAATTCTTTTTCGTGTACCGGGACTCCTCTTCTTACGAACTTTCGATTTACAAACTTTAAGAGAAAGGAACAAACCTGTCCGCATATCCAAGTTGCCTGTTCGGACCGAGAGTTGTAAGTTCAACTGCCGCGCAATAGACGGCAGTGGTGTCATCTACATCTGCAGAACATGAAGAACCAGTGACATCTACATCTGCAGAACATGAAGAACCAGTGCCATCTACATCTAGAGGAAAATATTCAACTTTTAAAGCCATTCCCCGTGTTTAGTGTCCATGCCGTACAACACGTTTGGAATCGACAGGAGTAAAGTTGGACTTACGAACAAATCTACTTACGATTTGTAAGCTGAGGAGTCCCTGTTATTATATTCCGTGTTCACGTTTTCCAATGCAAGGTACGCTTCCGACTATGAACACACACGCTGCCCGGAGTTACAGGTCATACTCATCCCGATTGTCGGCGTTTCACAGGGATGGCCGATTATTCTTTTCTTTTGATTAAACGAATAGGGGTAGAGGGAAGGACGGGTTGGCTCCATACAGTGCGGAAGAAGTTCAACATACATACTGCACGGCGTTGTGAACTGTTCCCTGTCACTTTTATACACAGTCCCCCCTCTAGACTTCAGTGGAGGCCCTTCCGCCAGCTGTGGTGAGTGCAAGCCACTGCGGCTGAGGGGTAGAGGGAAGGATGGGTTGGCTACGTACAGTGCGAAAGAAGTTCAACGTGCAGGCATATATTCCGCACGGTGTTGCGTAACTTTCTTACACGCCCCTACTGGACATCTGTAAAAAAAAGAGCTGTACAGCTCATCGGATTCCTCCTCCAGTATAAATACATATTCTGATTCTGAAACAAGTCCCCCTCCTCTAGACCTCCTCCTCAGAAGGGAGGCCCCTCCGCCAGCTGTGTTGTGTGCGAGCCACTGCGGCCATGCGGCCTTACCTCCTACGTCGCAGGCCGCGATTGCCACTGCTTCTCACCCCCTGCCTGATTTGATCACCGCAGGCTGAGCCACAACTGCCTCAAGGATGCTGGGATGATGTTGCTGGCAAAGGGATTGGTTGAGAGTGAAAAACACCTGGAGACACTGCAGTGAGTTCCTGCCACATATATCCACCTCCTTACCTCTTCTATACTTGGAATGCCTGCGATGGATACATTTTAAGTTGTCTTTTTGTATGACTCAAAATTAATCTCCATGCGTAATTTGTATAGAAAAAAATATGTGCGTCCTTAACTCCTGAGAGACACACAGATATATGATGCTTAACACATAGGCTTTCACAACCAATATTATCCATAATTCCGTTTTTTTTGGGTTCTATCGTGTAAATATAAACGTGTCGTTAAACCCGCCACCACCAAATACAGACAATTAGTAAGGTTTGTCACGTAAACAGAACGTGCCAATTCTTTACTAATTCTGTACCACCGGTGTGTTGGAGAGTAAATTCACAACATTTACAATCTGAGTACGACGTCTCGCCAGTAATTACAACCAGCTTCATCAGGCGACAGCCAGATTTGTGGAGAAATCCTATTTCATTCTTAAATAGAGGGATAGTTGTGATGTCGTCACGGATATAGACATTACCACTATATACTATATTTTTTTACTTTGCCAGGTAAGGCCCACTGAACTACAGTATATAGCTCTTTATTTTTAAACGACCTGGGCCACAAATTATCGCGCAACAAAGTGGATTATCATCACATGGGCATTTATAACAGCCAAATACTCTCAACGCATGTTTCTAAATGTGGAGGGAAAAACCATAGGACCCAGAGAAAAATCCACACGACCATGGGGAGAAATATGCAAACTATAAATATACAGGCATCGTCCGAGTAGGGATTGAACCCACGACCCCCTGTATACCAGGTGAGGTAGTTAACATCTCCTAGCCACCGTGGCACGAAGAAAATTGTTCGAAATCTGAAAAGTGCCGTAAAAAATAACTTATGGATTAGAGAACCTACACGAGTTGGAGATGGCATATTGACTGTTGATAAAAGCAAGTGGGCTTGGGTAGGACACTTTGCCAGAGACTAATGTTAACAGTGGAAGCAAGTCCTGCAATATTGCCCAATAGTACCATTCTCCACAGTCTACTATGCATTGTGCAAACTGATTGGCCTGGGTGGAGTGAACATTCAGTCACCGCTCCGTACGTTTTTCGGGATTTGACCGCACATTGCTCGGCATGGTAACCGACGTATCGCTCCGCGTGCTAGTAGCTTGTTCAGGAAGTGAAGAAGCAGGAACATCTTCGGGAACTGAACCCTCAGCTCCTACGCGGTGGTGCATCCTGAACACACATGGCAGGAGCTGCACAGTACAAGCGCGAAAAACCTCCACGGGAGTATTATCCAGTCACTCGAGATTGTTTGTGTGTTCTCTCTCTGCTTTCAGTCTTTGGAATTGCTCCCTCACCCAGAAGTCGGGTCCACATCTCCAAGCCATCATCAAGAGCTGTCCCAACCTGAAGACGCTTGTGTAAGTTCAATACATAAATAAATAACCGTTCTCTCTATGTATACCTTAATCGATATGTTATGTACACGCGACTCATATTTTACAATGCAAATACGCGGGCTCTGGTGGCAATGCTGCACGGGGCCTGCAACCCAGCAGTGAAGTTGGTGGATCACACACACGTTTGTGAAACTCCATCCCTACACGTGGGCATCGCGAGGCCACCACCTCACGGCTTTGCCAGGGTTTGATGGCAGTACAGCAAGTGGGTTAATATCCATCTGTAAGAGGATTGAGTGTGTTAAGGTAAAGAGGTGACGAGCCCGTTCCTGCTGATGAGATTCAGCAGGACAAGGACCAGACTTTTACTAGCCTTAAATATATGTCAAATAGGGGTGATGGACTAAAACATGTTTTTTTCACGCTCGTGCGGAGACACAGAATGGAGCCGTGCTCTTATGTGCCGCGTACCGCAGGCTTGGTGAGAATGCCATCGAGGACGATGGCGCAAGACGGCTCGCTCGAGCGCTACTGGACGAGAGGAAGGCTGGGAGACAAATTCAACTGGAGAAGTTGCAGTGAGTTTTTTTTGTTGTGTTACGATTACAACTTTAAATTTCGATTTAAAGCTTTCGTGACTGCAGGGATTCATCTTCTTGATTTTTCGGTAAAGTCACGTAGAAGGGAAGTAATAAAATAATAAAAATAAAACATAATAAAATAATTCTCACGACGTTTCGGCTACAACGCAAGCAGCCGTCTTCAGGTGAAGAATGAGACACTGCCAAGCTAGGAGCTTATATATAAGCTGAGTTGGAGGTGGAAGAAGAGCGCCTTAACACACATTCTTTTGGGGCTGGTGGATCACGCATGCAAATGTTGTGAAACCTCCCTTTCCCATGGGTGTCAAGGTGCTTGCCATGAGAATGTGGTACGGTAAAATGTGGACTCCATATGTTCCATTGGTATGGGCACACGTGGGTTTTCTCCAGGTGCTCCAGCTTCCTCCCACATGTAGACACTCATTGATTGGCCGATAACACCTTGGCATACAGAGGACTGCAGAGCTTTGGCAATTCGCGCCTTCTCATCGCGTGGCTGCCTTCCCGCTTGTCTGCGGTTCCTCGCACCACGTTACAAGTTGAAATTATTATTACATCACCAGCGTAGAGTGAACTTTCAGTTATCGATGGGTGAATTAGCCAGGCTGCGGTTGTTCGAGCTTGCGTAAGAGATAACAAACATGGTAATAATAGCGCTCGTACTATTATTATTAAGCTGCTCCTCAAACCAATAAAAACAGACGGCTCATTCCGTGTCCTCACCCGCGCTGTACGTAAGTAAACACTCAATATGCTTGTAGACCGATTAGCACAATTGGCTACGTACGGTTGTGAAAGAAGTTCAACATACATATGTACGGTCGTAATTTGGGTACTTTTTACATTGTCTCTGGATTTGATTGAAGGTGAATGACAAGTTTCGTGAACGATTATTATAACTCCTGTTTGGTCTGTGTTCCCCTGTGTGTAGCATGCAAGGATGTGGTATGACGGAAAAATCTGCGTCTGCCCTTCGTGATATCATCGTTGCCTGCAGCAGACTGAAGGTGCTCCGGTGAGAGTTGTGAGAGAACCAGCCTCACACCAACTGTTGACTTGCAATTTTATGAATTCTGACCGCTCAAATGTGTCACATTCACATACCATGTCAACCCATACGGTTTACCCTGTATTTTTGTACAGGGAAATTGAGTTTTCAGGTCCATACGGCTTACAGCCGTTTCAATACGGGTGAAGTATGGGAATTGACGGCAGGAACTTCTTGACGGGTAACACACTTTTATTAAATCCTTTAGGTATCACAATACAACGTGTGGTCTTCCTTCTTCCTCCGACACACTCCACTTATCTCGTGTAAGCTCTAGGCCTCTGGCTACACCCGATACACTTGACTCGTGTAGACCCTATGCCTCTGGCTACACACCATATACTCGACTCGTGTAAGCCCTATGCCTCTGGCTACACCATACACTCGACTCGTGTAAGCCCTATGCCTCTGGCTACACAATACACTCGACTCGTGTAAGCCCTATGCCCTGGCTACACATAGTACATTCGGCTCGTGTAGACCTATGGCTACACCCACTACACTCGCCTCTGGGTTACACAGAGTCCCGGTCCCCTTAGGACAGCGGGGCTAGGTACCGCAGGGCTCTAGGTCTTCATCCCCGTCTTCATTCTTCGCTGGTTACACACTGCCCTCACGCCTGTGTGCATCCCCTTTTATAGCCCCTGCTCACGAGAGGCGGGGCTGATGCGTACTTCAGCATGAGCATCGCTCCTTAAAGAACCAATCACGACGCACTCTCTCTACGATCCGCTTTCCCCAGTGCGTGTTAACATTACTCCACCAATCACACTGCGCTGCCACCTGATCACTCCCTCTCAGCGCGTCACCGCCCACAGCCAATCGGTACCCCGTAACCCACGACCCCGCGCTGACCCCTGATCCTCCACCGTCAGCGCGCGTCACCACCTACACAGCCAATCATCACACACTGTGCATACGATCCTTAATCCCCGCGCGTATCACCTCTACATCACCCCCTCCCACATAGCTTGCAGCCGGCCCGGCTGTTAACCTACAACACAACATAACGCAACGCAGTAATAAAGAACTCCACATCCCAGTGTGCCCCGTAACACAACAACAACAACATAACACAACCTTAAATACGAAGCAATATACAGCCCGACGAACAACACAATAAAAGCGAACACCGTAAAACGAACGCGCCAAGTGTCCCCGTGACCCACGCAGTGCCGAGGCGCTCCGGCTGCCTCGACTCCGCACGTGGTAGATTACACAAAGTAGCGCGACCTAGCGCGAGTCCGTCTGGCCGGTCCGTCGTATGGAACGGGACGTTGGCGACCGTCCGGTGTCTCCGGCAGCTCTAGACGGCACGGATCGGGCCTGGAAGGACCGGCCCCGCCGTGGAGATCCGGCCGCCGGTGGTCGGCAGCAGTCAGTTCCGAGACACCTGGGAGCGGGTCAGGCGGAGACATGTGAGGAGCAGGCAAGGACAATTCCCCCTCAGGGTCGTCGGTCACGTCACATGCTCGGCCCTCACGACACAAGGGGAGGCCATACGGAGGCGAGAACGGTTTCAGTCGGGAGGGGTGGACGTACCAACGGCGTTTCCCCCATTTTATCTGAACGCACTGGGGGCGCGCAACCCGCACGACCTCCACGGGTCCCCGCCACGGCTTCAACAATTTAGGCGACGTGGCCAAAGGTGCCTGAGGGCAATGCAGCCAGGCCTTGTCACCTGGTTCCCAATTGTGCACGGATACCTTCCGTGCCCGCAACCGCTCGTTCGCAATTTGGCGAGCCCGCGAATTAAGCCGTGCGGCCTCCCTTGCCTCTGTCAGTTTATGAATATTAAATTTAATATGCTCTGCCAATTTAGAATTAGTTCGTGGTGCGGGCAGACCCAGCTGCGTTTCCATGGGCGGGTCGGCTTCCCGGCCGTACATTAGAAAAAACGGGGAAAACCCCGTAGCTGCATGGGGGGCCATTCTATACGCGGCAAGGACCCCAGGGACCTGCAGGTCCCAATCAACATGCGACTCACACACCTGCTGGCACAGCATAGAGGTCAATGTCCTGTTAAGCCTCTCCACCATCCCGTCTGTCTGCGGGTGGTACGGGGAGGTACGCACCTTTTTGGTACCCAACAGGTCGCACACCTCCTGCAGTAATTTACTCGAAAAATTTTTCCCTTGGTCAGTCAGCAAGCGTTCGGGAGCCCCCTTGTCCAGGACGTAGCCCTGGACAAAGGCGTCCGTCACAGCCGCCGCCGACTGGTTGGCGAGTGGCCACGCCATAGGCCACCGGGTAAAATATTCGACCCCCACCAACAGGTACTTATTACCCCTAGGCGTGACCGGAAAGGGCCCCAGAATATCGAGTGCAACGAGCTCGTTAATGCGCGAGACCTGAATAGATTGCAGCGGTGGATTAGCTGCCACGGGCGGTGGTTTCCGTCTGGCGCACTCAACACAACCCTTCAGAATATTCACCACGTCACCCCCCATTCCCGGCCAATAATAGTCACGCTGAAGCAGGGCAAGCGTTTTGTTAACTCCCAAATGCAAGAGGCGTTCGTGTGCGGCCAAGACAACCTTCCCCCTCACAGCAGAAGGCACCACAATCGAATGCCGCCGGGACAAACTGTCCCATCTCATCAACAGGCCCTGCTTAAGCTCGTAGGAGCCAGTTCGGTCGTGGCTACCTTCGGAACCCTCCGTCTTTCGGCGCAATGCCAGCAGGGAGCTGTCCGCCATTTGGAGACGGCCCCACTCAATCAACGACAGTGAGAGCAGCGAGTCCTGACCCCCTGGGGTAGCGGGACCATCCCCAATTGGTGTGCTCGCGGTCGCAACCAACGCCTCCCTACCTTCCGTAACCGGAGGTTTACAGCGCGCCGATCCCGATAAGCACGCACATTTGTGACAAGGCAACAACCGCGACAGGGCATCGGCATTCGTGTGTCGCAACCCTTTACGGTACGTAGTCGTGAACTGATAGTCCTGGAGGACTTCCAACCACCGCGACAATTGGCCCGAGGGCTGGGCAACCCGTAATGAATACTGGAGCGCCGCATGGTCCGTCCGGACCGTGAAATGACGACCATAGAGATATGGCCTGAATTGTTGTACAAAAAAAACAATGGCAAGTAGTTCACGACGGGTGACGCAGTAGCGCTGCTCTGCCGGCGACAACACCCTGCTACCATAGGCGACCACCCGTTCGACCCCTCCAATGACTTGGGACAGCACCCCCCCAATGCCCGTGTTGCTAGCATCCGTGTCTAGCAAGAAGGGACTCTCAAAGTCCGGATAGCGCAAGGGTGGGGCCCTTACCAAGGCGTCCCGGAGGGAGCAGAATGCAGCCTCCTCCTCCGGTCCCCACCGGAACTTCACTCCTTTTGCCGTTAAAGCGTGCAAGGGCTTTGCAATGGTGGCGAAGTGCTCAACGAATCGGCGATAATACGAAGCAAAACCGATGAAACTGCGCACGTCTGACACTGACGTGGGCGTCGGCCACGAACTGACACAGTCCGTCTTCGCAGGATCGGTAGAAATCCCCGAAGAGTCGACAATGTGACCCAAGTACCTCACGGATTTACGAAAAAGATGGCATTTGGCCGGTTTAAACTTTAATTTAGCCGATCGCATTCGCAAGAACACCCCTCTCAATCGCTGGAGGTGTTCTTCGAACGTTTTACCGAAAACAATGACATCGTCAAGGTAAATGAGGCACGTTTCCCACTGCAAGCCCGACAAAACCAATTCCATAAGACGCTGAAACGTCGCAGGAGAGGAGTGAAGTCCCATGGGTAACCGGTTAAACTGAAACAGGCCCCCTGGAGTCCGGAATGCAGTCTTAGGCTTAGACTCCTCGTCGAGTGGCAACTGCCAAAATCCGGACAATAAATCAAGAGTCGAAAAGTATCGCGCACCGGACAATGCGTCGAGAGACTCGTCCATCCTGGGGAGCGGATACGCGTCGGCCACCGAGATCTTATTCAGGCGGCGGAAATCGACGCAAAATCGCAGGGACCCGTCCTGCTTTTTAACGAGCACAATAGGTGCTCCCCAAGGACTGGAAGAAGGCGAAATAATGTCGGCTTCCAGCATATCGTTAACTGCCGACTGAACATGTTCCTTCTCAGCAGGACTCAGTCGGAAGGGATTTTGCCTGACTGGTGCCGCATCGCCCGTTTCAATGTGGTGGCGTAGCAGGTCCGTGCATCCGATATCATACTTATGTTTACTGAAGACATCCGAAAATTCAATCAGCAACCCGCGCAACGCGCCCAACTGTACCGCTGACAAATCGTCAGAGTCCGCGCACAGCATATCAATCCAATCTAGGTCCTCCTTTGATGGTACGCTATTCGTGGGGCTCGGATCAACCTGCGCAACCAGCCTCTCCTCCGCAGGGACCCGTGCCGCGTGAGCCAGCACGGTGCCCTGCTGAATGACGGCCGGCCGCGCCCCAGCGTTTAAAACCATGACAAACGGATCCCTGTCTGCCCCAACCAAAGTGTGAGCCACCGATAAATCGAGACCTCCAACAGCCCTATTAGAAGGACCCAAAAGCATGGCCTGTTCCGAGGCCTCCTTCCCCCATGGCTTCCGTAACCGGAGGGGAATCAACATTTGTGAACCCGGGGGCACGTGCACGGTCTGTGTTGCTAACGCCTGAATGGTAGCGCACGCCGTCCGAATTACATTAGGGCTCGTCAAAAATGAAATACGGCGACCCGATGGTAGTTCAATGCAACGCTGATCAATGAGAATTTTGATGGGCATTTTCGCCAAAAAATCAGTGCCCAATAGGCAAGGAACCGCCAGGGAGGATGAAACGAAAACGGGTCCCGACAATTTGATATCACCAATGCAAATGGACGCCCTAATCTGACCGATAATGCCCAACGATCCCCCGTTAGCGGCGTAAAATGGCACATCCACCGGAAGAAGCGGACGACATTGTACCGGGAGAATATTATAAATGAGATCCGAAATAATAGTCGCCGATGCCCCCGTGTCCACTAACACCCTGACCTCGACCCCATCAATCGATCCGGTAACGACGGATGAACCCGCTGAGGCAGCCACAATTCTGTGCCCCAATTCCGACCATTTAATGTCTCCCCGGTCCCGGCCGAACCCCCCTCTCCGAACCGAATCTCCGAACTCTACTCGGCTCTCCCTCGTCGCAACGCGACGACCCATACGTGTCGAGTATGCGGGCCAAGCATGTGAGGTGCCGCGACTTGCCGGGGTTTGCAGTGATGACTTGGGGCCTTGGTCGTCGTCCAGCCGAGGTCCCATGGCGCGCTGACGTGGGGCACGGCAACCGGAGGCCACGTGGCCACGAAGGCCGCAGTTATAGCAGGTGATGACAGTAGTCGGAGATCTCGGTTGCTCCAGCTTGCGGGCCGCTCGCAGAGGCGAACGACCCCCCGACCTCCAGTCCCCCGCTCGTCCCGCGATGAACGCGTCCTCTCGTGGGCTGACGACTTGGGGCACGGTGCCAACCGGACCCGGAGTTGAGGCCACGGCAGCGTTGCAGACGACCCCCTGCTTTCGTTGAAGGACCTCGTGCGCTTGCATGCTCGTGGCGACCCGTAATGAAGAAATATCGGTGTCGTCGGCCGTGTTGATGGGGACCCCCAGGTCCTGCGCCAACTTGAGCAGCTGCTCCAAAACCATCGCATCTTGGCCCTCCTCGTCCATACGAGGGAACGCGGCGTCAGCGAGAGCGAGCAACGCCGTGCGGTAGGCGAGCACGGTCTCCGTGTCCGCCTTCCGTCTTGCGTAGAAATGATGGCGGCACGCCGAGGGAGGACCGTAGACTTTTGCCATGAGAGCCAGCGCATCCTTGAGCGTGGAGCGGTCCGACCTGCGTGCGGACGTGAAGGCCGCGAGCGCGTTGTCGTCCAGCATGGCAGGTAGTGCCCGCAGTGCCGTAGCGTCGGACCAGGCGGACATCTCTTGATGCGCCAAAAATCTGCGCTGAAATAGGCTCCAATCCCCGCCTTCCGCCTTGAATGCTGACAACGTGGGAAGGCGCTGCTGAAAGATAAAGTCGTCCTCCTCCTCGTGCTTCCTCTCTGCCCCCCCGTCGGTGTGTAAGATGGCGGCCCCAGTGGCGGGTGTGTGATGGCGGTCCGCCGCGCGCGTTGGTGACGTCAGCGGCCGCGCATGGAGAACCGCTGCCACGTGGTGATGGCCGTTCCCGCCAAAAGTTGGAGCGGATGAAATGGCGGGAATCGCCAAATCGTTTTGGCGGGAATCTGCAGGGCGACCCTGTAGCACGTCGGCCGTCGTCCCCGCTCCTCCCGACGAGCTGATCTCCGCCAAGATGGACGCGGCGGCGAGCAGCAGGTCCGCCAGACGGGAGTGTGCCTCGCGAAGCACGGTGTCAGTCCCCCGTCGCTCGTCCGGCGCCGTCGGTGGATCCTGCCCCGTGGGCAGCTCCTCTTCCTCACCCCCTGATGCCCGCTGGCCCGCGTCGTCGAGGTTGTCCTCGTGGTCAATCCCGTGGGTCCGACGGTTCCTCCTTGTATCCATGCTTGGAGGACCGTTTCACTTCTGACGCCAGTTGAAGTATGGGAATTGACGGCAGGAACTTCTTGACGGGTAACACACTTTTATTAAATCCTTTAGGTATCACAATACAACGTGTGGTCTTCCTTCTTCCTCCGACACACTCCACTTATCTCGTGTAAGCTCTAGGCCTCTGGCTACACCCGATACACTTGACTCGTGTAGACCCTATGCCTCTGGCTACACACCATATACTCGACTCGTGTAAGCCCTATGCCTCTGGCTACACCATACACTCGACTCGTGTAAGCCCTATGCCTCTGGCTACACAATACACTCGACTCGTGTAAGCCCTATGCCCTGGCTACACATAGTACATTCGGCTCGTGTAGACCTATGGCTACACCCACTACACTCGCCTCTGGGTTACACAGAGTCCCGGTCCCCTTAGGACAGCGGGGCTAGGTACCGCAGGGCTCTAGGTCTTCATCCCCGTCTTCATTCTTCGCTGGTTACACACTGCCCTCACGCCTGTGTGCATCCCCTTTTATAGCCCCTGCTCACGAGAGGCGGGGCTGATGCGTACTTCAGCATGAGCATCGCTCCTTAAAGAACCAATCACGACGCACTCTCTCTACGATCCGCTTTCCCCAGTGCGTGTTAACATTACTCCACCAATCACACTGCGCTGCCACCTGATCACTCCCTCTCAGCGCGTCACCGCCCACAGCCAATCGGTACCCCGTAACCCACGACCCCGCGCTGACCCCTGATCCTCCACCGTCAGCGCGCGTCACCACCTACACAGCCAATCATCACACACTGTGCATACGATCCTTAATCCCCGCGCGTATCACCTCTACACGGGCAACATTGTTTTTGCTATTTGTTTTTGTTTCTCCCTTGTGGTGAAGGCACTCTGTAGGATGAACGTACCAGGCGAGGTAGTTACCATCTCCTAGCCACCGTAATCACAAGCGGGGTCTGGATACACATGAGGTGGTCAGCCAGAATCTGCCCAATCTCATCAGATCTCAGAAGCTAAGAAGGCTTTGAGCCTGGATAATAGCTTTGCAAAGGGTGACCACCATCCTCTAACAGGTTGTCATCGCGATTCTAGGGAATACACGATGGTCAGTTTAGTAAAATATATCGTCCTGTACTGCTAAGCTTCCACATCAATGATCCCCTCCTTTGCGAACGTGCACTGAAAAGCGTGGTGAAGTATGGTCAAATAACCCCACTGAGCAACACAGCATGGGGAGGCCCTCGTCCAGCAATGGATTTAGGTGTGCACGTGTACATGGGGAAAATGTATGGAAAACCTGAGAGTTTTGTATTCTCTGGTGTGTGTGTGTGGTCTAATGTGGGGAGCGGTGGTGTAGCGGTTAGCGTGGTGCGCTACGAACCCGGCGACCCGAGTTCGATTCCCGCTCACCACCAACACCCAGTGACGATTATCTGAACCGGTCCTGGGCCTCCCCTAGGTTGTCACAGCCTAATATGAGTAGCAGGTGCGGTGTGTAAACATTGCCACTGGGGAGACAAAGGCGGTCGGGCATGGTGCTGGCCACCCACCCCCTCATGTGCCGTGCCAGCCTTCATAGGTGCCTCGCTAACAGCACTTGCCCCAACAGTCTATTAAGGCTATATTTGGGATCTTTGTCTTTGTTTGTTTTTGATCTAGGCTAAGCGATAACCGGATCGCAGACACAAGTGTGGATATGATGGCCAAAGCAATGGGAAATGAAAATGAACATCTGGAGGAGTTGGCGTAAGTATACGAGCACACCACTTGACGAGACGATGTCGCTCAGCTGGCTTGGGAACGCCTGGGAATTCCCCGGGAAAAGCTAGAGTCTGTGTGTCGTAATGTATAGTAGTGTAGTGTATAGTGTATTGTAGTGTATTGTATAGTAGTGTAGTGTATAGTAGTGTAGTGTATAATAGTGTAATAGTGTAGTCAATGGCGGAGCCAGGATTTTCAGGTCAGGGGGGCAACCCCTCCAGCAATGAAAAATGATAGGGCATTGTTAGTAAGTAAGGAGTTGTTAGTAAGTAAGGAGTTGTTAGTAAGTAAGGAGTTGTTAGTAAGTAAGGAGTTGTTAGTTAGGACTTGTCCCTTGATTTGTATTCGACGCGTGTGCGGCGATAGCACAGACGTCGATCGAGGGTCGAATTCGAACCACGTGTGATCGGCATCGCGCTCGCTGAAGCTGTGTGATGCCTTCATGGAAGTCGTGGACTGGACACGCAACTTCGCACAATTCTGAGTCACTTATAACTGCTTTGCCGTCACTTATCGCCAATTATGGACTCAGACTATTGTCCTATCATCTCATAGAGTCCCTGGCACGTAATAATATGCTACGCAGTGGCAGTGGGGATCGCAAAATGCCGATTAATTACCAATAAACCCCAATGATCCGATCGAAATTAAGGATTTCGATCGGATCATTGGGGAGGCACGTGCCACTGCACCCCTCCCACTGGCTCCACCAGTGAGTGTAGTGTATAGCAGTGTGTAGTAATATGTAGTGCATAGCAGTGTATAATAGTGTAGTGTATAGTAGTGTATAGTGTTGTAGTGTATAGTAGTGTAGTGTATAGTGTAGTAGTGCTTGAGTCCATCGCCAGGGAAAGGGAGGTCTGGACTGCCACTACTTAACACGACCCACACCAGGACAAGTGGATTGAGAAACGAACGCCTTGGATTTGGGGGGGGGGGGGGGCGAGAGAAAAAAAAACGAGAAATCACGAAAAAAATCATGGGATGAGGTGGGGGCAGTGCCTCATAAAAAATATACTATAACACAGAACGTTAATATTTTTTATTTATATTTTTGGTTTAAGATTGCAGGCGCGCTTATAGTCACCGCCCGGCTACAAAATATATAGGACTCGTACCTGGAATTGCCACCACTGGGGCTGTAAACGGATGAGCACCAATACCTCAATGTTCACTGAGCAGGACGTCACTCTTTTTATAACGTTTAAAAAAAAAACGTACATTTCACCGATACTGGACTATGTGATATTGTACCAGTTCCATGAACATGGTTTTCTTGTTCTCTTTAGCATTAGGAACTGTTCGCTGACGAACGACGTGGTTCCCGCTCTCCGTAAAATTGTTACGAGCTCTCTGCGCTTGCAGCTGCTTGGGTAAGTACTGTGAAGCGGCTGCTCTTGTAGAGGTTTTCATAATAATTAGGCATTTGTGCAATTCTTTTAGCGCCACAAAGGCTATGTGAATTTTTTTTTACCAATGGGATTCTTATTTTTTTACTTAGAAAATTTGGTCACGTTGGCACACATGGCATACCCTCTTGTGAATAACCAAAGTTGGAATAGCTGCTGTCTTATATTAGGTGGAGCACCCAATTCCTACATCACTGTGCTTGATAGAATTCAACACAGAGAAAAGTGGCCATTGACCCAGCACTCATCGATTCGCTTCAGTGCTCACCAGTGGTCATTCTTCCTTATCATTCTTCTTTCGCTGCCATCGTTACCATTACCGCGAGCTTTACTCATTGATTCCTCCTCCCGTGTTGAGGACTCAGTCTCTGGCAGACTCGTTTCGTTTACCACACTGCTGGTAAAAACAAATCACTCACTTACCCACTCACCCACTCACCTACTCATCCACTCACCCACTCATCCACTCACCCACTCATCCACTTACCCACTCATCCACTCACCCACTCATCCACTCACCCACTCACCCACTCATCCACTCACCCACTCATCCACTCATCCACTCACCCACTCATCCACTCACCCACTCACCCACTCACCCACTCACCCACTCATCCACTCACCCACTCATTCACTCACCCACTCACCTACTCACCCACTCACCCACTCACCTACTCATCCACTCACCTACTCACCCACTCATCCACTCACTTACTCATCCACTCATCCACTCACCCACTCATTCACTCACCCACTCACCTACTCACCCACTCACCTACTCACCCACTCATCCACTCACTTACTCATCCACTCATCCACTCACCCACTCACCCACTCATTCACTCACCCACTCATCCACTCATTCACTCCCCCACTCAATCGTGCTTCTTCCCTCACTTTACTCGACTTTGGAATCCCTCCCACTGTCTCTTTTTATAAGTTATTATAACCTGGCTTAATTCTAAGAAATGTGTTCACTCATATCTATTATAACTTTAATGGTGCTATTTGTTGCTGGCTGCTTGACGTTTTGGGTCCCACCAAATGTATAAAAAAAGAAGGGAAAATAATTCACTGTACTTCGAAGGAAGCAAATGTTCTCAATATAAAGAACATATCCCTGCGTGTGAAAATGTGGGTTTTGTGAATATCTATAGAAAAAAACGATTATACCACCGTGCAGAAACACTGCAGTCGGTGTGAGCGGTTAATTGGTCAGGGCGGATGTGTGACGGTCGGCTGCGTGACGCTGCGCCGTGCAGTTTTTGTTCACCTCACGCTCAAGGAGCACGGCCACACATTTAAGCGTGCTTTGGTCTCGTTTTTGTCCCATCCTTCTGCTGATCATTTAAATACGAACGCCGTCCCCGTGTCCCGCAGAGTGAGGCTCAATTCGTTCACTGACGAGACGGCGAGCGAAGTGGACTCCCTTGGCGAGCTGCGACATGGGCTGCAGGTCATCGTGTGAGACAAAAGGAGCCACTTGAACGGTGGTTTGTATGCCAGAGACTCCTCTGTTGGTCTCAGCCTGCTGCTATGAACAATGTCCTCTTTTAAAATGCACACTGGTTTTGCCACCGCAAGACACCCCTCACCTGCACGTATGAGACCACAATCCCTCACACCGCTCCAATTCTCAGATCCCTCCACAGAACAAACAACAACAGCCATGGATAAACTACAGATTCACTCTTACCGTCTTCAAGATCCATGGACTCGGCCCGTGCCTAACTACCCCCTCTGTCCTCTCATCTCACTCTGCTCCTCCTCATGCACTCTCCTACCTCTTCTCATTTCACCTTACCATGTGCTCCCCTCTCATCTCGCTCTGCATCCCTTCAATTTAACGGCGAGCTTAAATCATAATTGTCTCGTTAAAGAGTTGTCAGCGTGACAATTTAATTTCATTGACTGTGTCGGTGGTGGAGGGTTATACGACAAAAACAATTTGCCAAATCATTAGGTGGCTAAAACCAAAAATAAATTATAATGAAAGTGATGTAAAGACCTCTATTGACGGACCCAACACAGGTGTAGTGACTGACTCGGAGACACTAAGAGTAGGATGCACTCTGTTTATTAACATGGCCTGACAGTTAACACTTAGTAACTACGGTTCCCAGTCAGGACAGCTGGTAGACTGCCTGGCTGGCGATGCCGAGACGGTGAAGACGGAGACGGCCGTGAAGACTGCAGCAGCGCGTCGGGAACCAACTCCACACGACAGCCCCGAGCTCCCTCCCAGGGCCCCTTTTATACTGGCAGCGTGGCCTGGCTCCGCCCCCGGCCACGCCCCCTTTCCGGAACCTACCAGCGGGTTCCTTGTGTGCCCCTTCCGTGACCCTTCCTCTAGATCACTCTCTGGTCTATCACGTGGCCTGCTGTCAGTCAGGGATGCTGTAAGCTGCAGATCCCCTTCCCTGCCAGCAGCAAGCGCTATGCTGCTACGTGACCGATTATATGTCACTAGACAGAGACTCCTCAACTTACGAACACTTGACTTACGAACTTTCAGAAATAAGAACAAACCTGTCCATCTGTCCAGTTACCTGTTCGGACCGAGAGTCGTAAGTTTAACTGCCGCGCAATAGATGGCGGTGATGGCATCTATATCTGCAGAACATAAAGAACCAGTGGCATCTACATCTACAGGAGATTATACAACTTTTAAAGCCATACCCCTTGTTTAGTGTACACGCCGTACAACACGTTTGGAATCGACAGGAATAAAGTTGAATTTACAAACAAATCGAATTATGAACAGAACTCTGGAACTTAACTCGTTCGTAAGTAGAGGAGTCCCTGTATGGTTGCTAAGATCTAGACATGTCCTAGGAACAAGGGTAGAGCGGGTATCTTATTATTTAAGTGATTGATTACCAATTAATTATCGGTTCCATTATTCGACATGCAGCCCCATCCTACTACATTCAGGGCGATCTCTGCCAACGGCTCAGTCGTCTTCTCACTGGGAAGAAGTTGCTTGTTTAACCGCAGAGCAATTGAGGAATGTGATTGCAGAACAAGGATTTAGCCCACGCATCAATGATTGTGTAATCGAAACTGTGAAAGTTGATCTATCCGGTGTATATATATAACAATTATGTGTTCAAATTGACGTTTTTTTATTGTTGGTGCTTTTTTAATGTATTTTTGGTATTATTGTTACACGTGTGTAGTTTCAATGTCAACACGTTTTTTTAACCTACCATACAAAAACATGATTATGGTAAAAAAAAAATCTGAGTTTTGCATCAGTATATTAGTGAAGATTTTTTGTTGCAGCCATCTCAGGATAATCTCTTCACATCACTTGGCAAAGCTCAGAGTGATAAATTGAAATGAAAGGAGATGCTTTGAGATCCTACGAATCGTCGGTTGGAATACCATGAAATTAATTTTAGAATGTGGTAATTCAGAGGAAGGTCCTGCCTTTGTATATATATATTCACATTTTACATGTTGGACATTCTGCCTGTCACAGTAGTGTGTAATTGTTGGCATGTAACCGGACTTGCAGTCTGGAGGTCGCTGGCTCGATTTGACCTCCCGCCCTGGCAGTTGAAACAATGTGGGGGGGAAAAGTGAA